AAAAAAAAAACAACAACAACAACAACTTAATATTTATCAGTCGTGATATTTTTACCACCCGACAACCATCAACCAACAACAACAACAACAAGAAAAACGTGTATAAATCGCGGGGGGTTGTTGTGGGGGATTGTGGGGTGTGTGTGGGGAGGGGGGATGAAACTTTTTTAAAATTCTAAACGGGAAGTAAAAGAAAAAAAAAAAAAAGAAAGAAAGAAAGAAAAAAAAAAATTAAACGCGAGTTATTTTTACGTTATATTACGTTTTTTTTTTTTTTTTTTGCGTGTGAAATTCGATTCCGTTTCCTGTTTAATATTCAAATCTCATGTAATATTTTTTTTTGTATTCTCTTATTTTTTCTCTTTTTCATCGTCTTCTGCTCTTGCTCCTAATGCTGCTGATGCTGCTGATGCTGCTTTATTTCATTTTAAATTAAAACTTTTTATTTACTCTTAATTAGATTTTAAAATTAAAGTAAACGTTTTTCTTTAAAAATAAAATTGAAAATTATTTTTAATAAAAAAAAAAACTTTTTAAATTCCCAAGAGGGTTTTTCCTTTTCATTAACGCCCATATTTATATATCATTTCACGCACACATGCACGCGCACGCACCCACACACCAATATATAAATAAATAAAATGATAAAAAAAAGGGGGGGGGATTTGAATTTTATTTTGGAATCAATGATGGTGACAGTTTGCGTTTTAACTCTAATTAAATTCACTGAATATTTTGGTTGTTGTTGTTGAACGTTAATTAATCACGTATTAAAATTAAATTTAAGATAATAAAATAAAAATTAATGTCGCCGTCGGTTGTTCATATGTGTGTATGCTTTTCTAGAAATTTCTAAACGCAAAAAAAAAAAAAAAAAAAATTCTCAAATCTTTTTTATCACTTAAACGCTATTAAATTTTATTATCGCAGATTTTTTCCCTTTTTTTTTCTCTCTCTCACAAAATCGTAAGAAATTTTATTTTATTTTATTTTTATTTATTTAAATAAGATTTTCTTTCGATATTCCATCTCCCCCTTTCTCTCTCTCCCTCTCTTTCTATTTTTCGAAAGTATTGAAAGTTAGGAAAAAGAAAAAAAAAAAAAGGTTTATTCATTTCCTTTTTTTTATTTATAATTAATCTCTTTTTGAGTTTTTCCTTTTTTTTTAAAAAAAAATTCTATTCATAAAGTTTAGTTTACTGATTTTATATACAAAAAAAAACTTTTTTTTTTTTTTACTTGTTTCCGTAATAATAATAATAATAAATAAATAAATAAATTGAAAAAATATTTTTCCTCTGTGTGTGTGTGTGCGTGCGTTTAACAAAAGAATTTTTTTTTCCCTCTACGTTAAAAATTTGTTTGTTATTATCATCATCATCATTATTATTATTATTATTATTATCATGCAGGAAAATGAATAAAATTACGGTAATAAAATAGAATGAAAGAAAAATTATTAAAATGTTACAACTACACGTTGGATATTTTTTATTTTGGCTGATTCTAACAGGTACAAACAAATTTTCACCCCCACCCCCAAAATGTCACTCCTTTCTTTTCCACATTATCATTATTATCCTTTTAAATTATGTATATAAGTAAATAAAAAACATTTAAATAATGTTATTAATAAATATAAAAGGAGAAAAAAAATAATAATGAATCAAAGGTTGTTTTTAAATAAATAAATTTTTTTTTTTACACTAATAATGAAAAAAATTATCAAATTCATTATTCAAATTTATTTAAATTTTATTTTCTTTGTGTTATAGTTATTATTATCATTATCATTATCATCATCATCGTAGTCATTTCTTTTTTCTTTTGAATAAAAAAAAAAAAAAATGAATTCTTTAGCTTTGTATATATATATATATTTAAAGTTTTATGTAGTAAACCTTTGAGGCATTATGTAAATTTTTTTCTCTTTTTTTTTTTTTTTTTTTTTTGTTAAAGGAACGGCAGGAATCAAAATAACAAAACTTTTTATACCGAAAATAATAGACGTAAGAGAATCGGGGATTTTAACATGCGAATTCGATTTAGAAAATGGTAAACTTTATTCCGTTAAATGGTATAAAAACGATCTTGAATTTTTCCGTTTTATGCCAAACGGAAATCCTATCGTACAAATATTTAAAGTCGATGGAATTAATTTAACGGTGAGATTATCAATCAATTATTATTTATTAATTATTATTATTATTAAACGTTTATTTATTTACTTATCATCATTAGGATAAAGACTGCAATATGACTACGGTAGTGTTAAATCGTTTGGAATTTACAACTTCCGGTCTTTACACCTGCGAAGTATCAACCGAAGGTCCTTATTTTAAAACCGTACAAACTTCATCAAACATGACCGTTTTAGGTAAGCTAAACATATTTAAAAAAAATTGTTTTTTGACGTCATCACTAATTTTTTTTTTTTTTTCTTTTCAGGTATTCCAGAAAAAAATCCTACGATAACCGGAATCGAAAATATTTATAATGTCGGCGATTACGTCAGAGGTAATTGCACATCTGATCTTTCATATCCGGTATCGAACATCGATTGGTACATTAATGATAATAAGGTAAGTGTTTACTTTATATATAATTAAATGATGATGATGATGATGATGTTGAGGATGAGGAGGATGATTACAGGTTGAATCTTGGCAATTGGAAAAATATCCGGTTATTATATTTAATGATAAAATGATAATTTCAACGCTCGGAATATCGTTTCAAGTCGATCACAGTCATTTTTCCGGAAAAGGAAATACTATGGTCCTTAAATGCATCGCTAATATAAATGATATTTCGAGGCAAACGATACACATATCTAAATTAGCGGATTTAGATGTAGAAAAATTAGCTCAGGGTTTATACGGAAGTTACGGTTTGTTATTACTATTATAATTATTATTGATTTCGTTTGTTTTTGAAAAAAAAAATCAAACGAGATTCATTTGGTTTGTTTGTTTATTTGTTTTCAGGTTGTAGGAAACCGATATTAAATATTATTATTATTATATTCATCATTCCTTGTGTTATGTTGTATTATGCAAATATTATTATTATTATTATTTAATTATTAATATACATTTTAAAAAAAAAAAAATAATAATAATCATTTTTTTCGGGTTTTTCCCCCCAAAAAAATTTTAGCGAGTAATTTAACGGTTTGAATTTTTTTTTTTTTTCGTAGGGAAGGGGGAGGCGGAGAGGAAAAGGATAAAAATTCGAAAGGGGGCGGAGGGAGAGAGGGAAGGGGAGTAATAATAAAAAAGATTATTTTTTATAATTAAAAAAAAAAGGGGAAAAACACATAACAATTTCTTTTGTTTGTTTGTTTGTTTGTTTCATTTCATTAACGAAAAAAAAAAAAAAAGTTTGTAATAAAAAAATTTTTCTTTTTTCTTTTTTTAACTACTTACGCACTTTTCTAGGTAATAACGGTAAAAAAAGAAAAATAAAGAAAATATTATTAACAAAAAAAAAATTTTTCTTTTATTATTATTATTAAAAAAGAAAATTTTAATGGTTTTAACTTTTTAACTTCTCTTTTTAATTCGGATTAAAAAAAAAAAAAAAGTTTTTTTTTTTTTTTTTTGAATTGTATTCTCTTTGTTAATTCTTGTTAGATCCATGAAAATAACCTTAAAGAGGATTTTTTATAAAAAAAAAAAAAGATCTCTTCGTGTTTTCTTCATTACTTTTTTTTTTTTTTTTTGTTATATCGAACCCATTAAAATTGTTGTTTATAAAAAAAAAAAAAAACAAAAACAAAAATTTTTCAAACCGTTCGATAGATTTTAAAGAAGAGAGAGAGGAATGTGGGGAGGGAGTAGGGGGAGAAAATCCATACAGCATCTCAAAAGAACTCTCTCTCTCGTCAAAAAAAAATCGTCTTAAAATTTTTTTTTTTTTTATAATGTGAGGGGTTGTCGCCATAATTTTCATGCTTAACAAATTTTTTATTATTATTTCTCCCTCCCCCTCCCCTCTCCCCATTTTTTTAAAATAATGTGTTGTTGTTTTTTTAACAAGTACTTTGGTTAATTCTCTTTGTTTGCTTTCACATCATCATCATCATCATCATCATCATTGTTCCGTTAAAGACGCTAATAAAAAAAGCTTTCTCAGATGGTTTTTTTTTGGTTGTCAGCTGACATTCCACTCTTTGGAAACCCGTTTGCTACCCAACAGCACACAAAAAAAGAAAAGAAGGGAAGGGGAGGAGGAGAAAAACCTTTTACCCGAGAAAAATTTTTAATTTTTTTTTTTTTTAGGTTGCTTTTGTAGGAAACCATGTTTGTTGAAAAAGAATTTTAAAAATGAAAAAAAAAAAAAAACCACATTAAAAACACTTTAAAATCCATTAGATGATTTTTTTTTTTTATTTAAATTCTTCTTCTTCTTTTTTTCGGAAGGGGGAAGAAGGGGGTGGGATGGGGTGGAGAGGGTGGGGTCGAAAATTTATTACCACTATGAAACAAATTTCCCAAAAAAAAAAAAAAAACTTTTTTTTTAATTTTTTGTTACATTAATAAAATAAATTTTGCTTTGAATGAACCAAAAAAAAAAAATTTTTTCGTTGTTTTTTTTGTTTTTTTTAAAATGGCGGAAATTCTTTTCATTGTCCGTTTTTTTTTAGTAAAAAAAAATTTTAAAAACTTTAATCAAAACCGACGAGTATTTTCTAAAAACCTGATTTTTTTTGCCACTGGTTAGAATAGCTATTAAGATAGCGTCAGATTTATTTGATTGATCTTTTTTTCGTGGGGATGCTTAATATTTAGTTTAGCCCTTTTCATCTATCCATCTCTCTCTCACTCTCTCTCTCTCTCTCTCTCACCGGATTCATCACCGAAAATAATGTTCTGTCGTGTTTGAAACAAATGGGAAAATCGTCGTAGTAGTTTTGTAATTGAACATCACTGAAAATGATATTTTAACTCTAAAAACTTTATTTATTTATACACGAGTTTAAAAAAAACCATCATCATCATCATTATTATTTCATTTCCGGGTTTTCCCAAAAAAAAAGAAAATCGATATTTTTCATCATCGTTCGTAATTATTTATTTTTTTTTTTCCTCATTTACGTAAACGATTAAAATTATTTTGTTACGTTTCTAAAACAATTTTATATTAGTTATGATAATAATAATAATAATAACAAGTGTATAATTCAAAGGCATCCCGCAGAGAAACAAGCAAACAAACAAACAAACACCACCTCTCGTAAAAGAATACGAGGGAAAAATAAAATCAGAAATGAAAATCTCGCGAGAATAAAATGAAAGAAAACGTTGAAAAATTTTTCATTATTATTTCATTTATTCTTTATTTTATTTATTTATACAAAAATTGTAATTATGTAATAATAATAATAATAATAATAGTATTTAATTATTTTTAAATGTTCTTAAATGTTCTGGAAAGAAAGAAACCTCCCTCCCTTTTTTAAAAGGTAAATAATAATAATAATAACAAATGAATTTTCCGAACGCAATTTTTTTTTAAAAGTCTGATACGTAAAATTTATTAATAAACGTCTCGTTATTTATATGAAAGGTCACGATAATTGATAAGAAATACGAAGCAGAAGATAGAAAAAAAAACGAATAACATGATAACCTAATAATAATAATGAAGTAGGTAACGTTATAAATTAGTAGGAGGTCGTATAAAATATTATTCGATAAATTCCTTGCCACGGTTATAAAGTTTAAAAAAGTTTTTTTTTTTTTCCCCCTTTGAGGTTTTTATTGTTGTTATGGTTGTTGTTAAGGTTGTTGTTGTTGTTGTTGTATCTCGAATACGAATACGCAAATTTTTCTTATCGTTTATTCATAAAAAACTTTTTTATTGAAATTTTACCGTTAAATATTAATTTTTGAACAAATTATTATTAATTTTATTTTAAAAATTTATAAGAATCTCAAAAGCGACGAACAAACAACAAACAAACAAGCGAACAAACGAACAAAATTTTTTTTTATTAATCTATGATAATAATGATAATAAATAATAATCGTCGTAGTTTTTTTTTTTTTTTTTTTAAAACAATGTTTTAAATACAACCTGAAAATTTCACGTTTTTTTTTTTTTAGAGAGAGAGAGTGAGAGGAATGGAGGGTGGGAAAGAGAGAAAGAGAATAAGAGGGAGGAAGGGAAGGAGAGGGGGAAAAAAAACATACAAATTAATTTTTCGTTTAATAAAAACCATGGCAGAGTTTTTTTTTTTTTTTTTTTCGGAACACGTTTTTCGTTATATATATATATAGGAAATGAAGTTGCGGTTGTTTTTTTTTTTTTACCCCCTTGAGCCCTAACAGTCTCCGAGCATGTGAAAAAAATCCAGGGCATTTTGACTTCACAAATTGAACTTTTATAACTTTTGTTCAATTTTTCCGCTTCAATCAGTTCGCCATTTTATTAAAAAAAAAAAAAAAAAAAAGAGAAAACAGTCATGAAATGAAATGAAAACTTTTTACTTTTTTTCATACATATATAAATAAAAAATTTATTAAAAACTTTTATAACCGCCACATGTACAATCTTTTACTATTATTATTATTTTTATTATTTTATTCATTCATTCATTTTTTTTTTTTTTTAAATGAATTTTTTCCTCTTTTTTAAAACCGCGAATTTGGATAAATTTTTTTTTTTTTTCGTCACGAAAGTGAAGTAAAATTTTCGCGGATAAAAACTAAAAATAAGTAAATTTATAAAAAAATTTGACAAATCATATATAACACAATCGTATGTAAAACTAATTTGACAGGAATAAAATACGTCACGAGCGGGAACAAAAAAAAAAAAAAACGTCACGGGAGAAATGCAAAAAAAAGAAAAATTTTTCCCTTTCTCTTTTCCTTCTTTCCTTTCTTCCCTTCCTTCCCTTCCCTTTTTTTTTCATTTCGTTTAATTCCCGTGTTTGTTAACGTATCATTTTTATCGCGTCGAGTTCCCCAAATAATAATAATAATAATAATAATTGATATCGTTAATAAAAATATTATTGATAAAGCTAATAACGTCTCTTTAAAAAAACAAACATGGCGGCTTACATAATTTAAAGATTTAAATGGGGGGAAAAAGTTGTTATAATTTTTTTTTTTTAATATTATAAATAAAATTAATATTAATAATAATAAATAATGATATTTATTAAAAGTATTATTATTATTATTTTAATTATATACGATTTCTTATTCTTAAAAAAAAAAAAAATAAACGACAACGTGATTAGTGTTATTATTATGTATTATTATAATACGAAAAAAAAGGAAAGAAAAGAAAATAATAATAATAATAATAATTTTGATTTGAATTTTTTTTATCAAAAACTGACAGTTTGAAAATGCCAAAAAAAAAAGTCTTGGAGAAAGGAAAAGTTTTCTTTTTCTTTTAACAACATGAAGACGAGAACACACAAATGTAATATGAAAAGTGACAAAAAAAAAAAAAACAGGAAAAAAAATGAATATATATATATATATATATATATAAATTAGATATTCACTAGAGGTGGTGCTGCTTTGAAAGCAAAACAACTTTTTCCCTTTTTTTCCTTTTTCTTTTTTTTTTTTTTTTTTTTTAAAAAAAAAAAAAAAAAAAAAAAGTTTTTGCTTATTCGGTGAATGATGATGTCGTGGTAAAAAAAAAAAAAAGAATTTTCTTAACGGAATTTTTTTGAAATTTTTAATTACCGATTTTAAATTCGTTTATAAATTATTATTATTAAAATTTTGCGAGTAATAATTATTTAATAAAAAAATATATAAATATTATAATAATATCACACCACCACCACCCCCGCCATCATGAAACAACGGTTAAAATTAAAAATATGACGCCATTTTTTTTTTCTCCACTGCCTTCTTTTAATGAGTCATAAAGAATATTTATAATAATTATTGCCGTTATATGGTATAATAATTTCATAGAGTATATAAAATTCTTAATATCGTCAAATTTAAAACTTGCATATTTTTTTTTTTAAATAATAAAATGATTTATATATTAATAAAATAATTATTAATAAAAAAAAAAAAAAAAAAAAAATGAAGACGCACAATTTATTTGTCTCGGCTAAGAATTTTACATAAACGATTATTTATTGAAAGAATAGAATAGAAAAAACAAAATGTCGGACACCAAAAACCTAAAAAACTAATCAATCACATTTTTTTCGCTTTTTCGTACTGCTTCTCTTAGGTTTTGATTTATTTTTCGGACATTTAGGTTTTCCCTTCATTTTTCCTCTAGGTTTTGAATTTCTCCTTTTAGGTTTTGGACATTTTGATTTTTGCTTACGAGTTTTAACCGATCTATTTCTAGCTTTGCTTCTTCTACCATCATCGTTATTGTCGTTTCCGCCGCCGTCGGACTTTTTATTTTTAGAATCTTTATCCGAGGAAGATTTGTCTTTGTTTTTACAGTCTTTGTCATCTTTGCTTTTGGTATTGTCTTTGGATTGGGCTTTTCTCACGTCCTTGTTTTTGTCTTTGTCTTTATCCTTGTCTTTTTTATCATCTGATTTATTAACGTTACCATCGGATTTACATTTATCTCTTTTATCTCTCCTGTCTTTTCTATCTTTTTTATCCGATGCTGATTTTCTATCGCGCGGGCATTTTTCCTTCTTTCGTCTTCTCCTCGACCTCGATGATTTTCGACCTGATCTCATACCCGATCTCTGACCCGATTTTTGACCCGGTTTCGGACACGGTTTTGGACACGTTTTTTGACGCGATTTCATCATGGGTTTTCCATTACATTTTGATTTTGGACGAGATTTTGAAGAAGACTGAGGTTGACGAGATTTTGAAGACTGCGGAGGACAGTAGGAGGGTCTGGTACCGGATGTTGGCGAACAAGGTTTACATGCTGATTTAGGTTTCGAACCGGATCGAGGAGAACACGGGGGTTTCGGACAAGGTTTAGGACAAGGTTTCGGACACGGTTTTGCTTTCGTATTTGAAGAAGGCGAACAAGGTTTATTCCCGGATGGAGGAGGGCACTGTTTTGAATTTGACGACGGACATAATCTCTGATTTGAGGTAAGACAGTTCTTGGTGGAAAGAGAAGGCGGACTTAATAATTTCGGACATGATTGATTGCATCGACTCTTCAGTTTACTATGTTTATGTTCTTTATCTCTCAAACGATATATATAAGAACTTGCTTGTTTTAATTTTATTCTACCGTCTGCGACTTTGAGAGACCCATTTTTCAAACATCCCCTAAGTGTTTGAACAATTCTTTTTAAACTTACTTGTGGTCCTTTTGTATTAATTGCTTTTACAATAGTTGGTATAGTCGACCCTTGCGGTTCTCTAAGATGATGTATAGTCCTTAGCAATCTTTTTTCAGTATCTTTTGACATCTTTTGCTGATGCTTTGCAAGATGTCAAAACAAAACTAAAAAACCAAAAAAAAAAAAAAAAAAAAACACCCCACTATTAGTAATCCACCAACAATTTATTCCAATTAGTTTGTACCGAAAACATTTTCAATTTTGATATTTATATCAAAACATTTTTAGTTTACTAAAAAATTTCAGTCTTTTAAAAAAAACAATACAGAAAAAAATAATAATAATAATACATCAAACAACAATCAACTGTTTTTTTTTTTTTTTTTTCCGTAAATTTAAATAAAAATTTTTAGTCTTTTTTTTTTTTGAAATTTAAAATTAAAATATAAGAATGTTTAATTAATGGCAACAAAAAAAAAACATTTTTTTGATAGTTTTTACTTAGTTTAATGTTTTTTTTTTAAATAGAAAACAGTTAAAAACGATAATAATAATAATAATAAGTAAAAATTAAATACTGTCAGCCATTATAATTTAAAAAAAAAAAAAATCAATATTAACGATATTTGAAAAAAATTTTTTTTAATTATAATTTTCCGATTCGAAATTTGTTTTTTAAAATATATTTTTCATTAAATTTAATCGTATTATTAAAATAATAATAATAATAATAATACTAAATAATTTATTTTATATTATTAACAAGGGGAAAAGAATTAATTTTTATCTATATATATAATAATTGGGATGATATTCATTTTAAAAAAAAAAGTAATTTCACGAAACCGCTTCCCCTCTCTCCTCCTTCCTCCCCTCCCTCTTCCTCCCCCCAATAAAATGATAATAATTAAATTTTTTTAAAACGTCAGTTTTTCGTTTCATTTTCATTTGAAAAAAAAAAAAAAAAAATTAACATTCGTAAAATTCAATTTTATACGTAATATAATAATTTATGGATATTTAATTTTCTTCTACTAAATTTTTTATCCCTAATTTTTTTTTTTCCCCCGTTCGGCGTCGATATAAAATATACGATTTTGAATTATTTTCCTTTTGTAAAAAGTTTGTTTGTGCGTGTGCGTGTGATGAAATAAAAATTAAAAAAAAGAAAAGAAGAGTAATTTGTTAAATTTTGTTTCACAAAAAAAAAATTAAAAAATCGAATCCTCTCGTGTGTGATTTTCTGTTATTATTATTATTATTATCGCTTTTGAACACGATAACATTTTGTGTACTTGTTTGGAGTTTTTAAACATTTATTCCAGGTCTCCTTTACTCGATTCCTTAGGAATAAGTGCTCGAATATCGGAGGTGCTATTTCCGGAGAATGTGGCAAGGTGGATGGCATGGATTCCAGTGCTGCTCCCACGATGATCGGAATAGTTTCTGTCTTTACTCCTCACATCCTGGCTATTTCAACCTTTTGCCAACTTCTTTGGCTGCCTGTTGTTTTTTCCACCGGAATTATGTCGCAGGATGATATCCGGTTCGTTAGCTGTCACAGTTCTGTCAGTGTGGATTTGTTGATCATACAGATCTGTGTACGAACCCACTTTCGTAACCGGGGTTGGAATGTGGTTGTACCATTCCTTGGGTAATCCATCCATTCCATATTTTCGGTAGATATTCCAATGAAGATATTGACAAATTTTATTGTGCCTCTCTGGGAATTCATGTTTTGCCAGCATCGGACAACCGGAAATTAAATGATGGATGATTTCCGATTATGATTGGCGAAATCGGAATTTGAGAATTACCTCCTCTTAATTATAGATCCTTATTAATGCCTGATCTTGTGCAGCTGTTTTAAACGCTATTATTATTATTATTCATTCATTCATCATTTTCTAAAACATTTCGAGGTTTCGATTTTATTTGAATTTTTCTTTTTCCACCACCTTGTAATTTATGAATTTAAAAAAAAAAATTTTCTACGCGTTCATTTTAAAATTATATATTTCCACCTTACATACTTCCACCCCCCCCTCTTCATTTCCCTTCGTTGGAAAAAAAAAATAAATAAATAAATAAATGAAATAAAAAGTATAAATTTTGTAAAATGTTTAATATTTGATTTATTATCGACTTGTTTTCCATTTAGGACTACATGAAATATTTAATTTAAACTGAGAAAAATAAGAAAGAGAGGATGGGTGGTAGGTTAGGTGAGGTAGGGAGGTAGGGAAGGAGAGGGAAGGGGGAAAGAGGAAGAGAGAGAGAGGGGGGGCTCGGCTCATAATGACAATTTAAAAAAAAAAAAAATTAATAATTAAATATGAACCTTCGAAAAGATTTTCAATTTTACTTTAAAATTAATTTAAAGATGCTGCTGACGGCAAAAAGGAGAGAAAGGAGAGGGGGGAAAAAAGAAAAGAAAAGAAAAGATAGAAAAAAAAAATTTTAAATAATTTATGAGGAAAAGCAGAAAATCGGACAAAGCAAAGCCTTCTTGAATAATTTGACACGTTTTCATTCTTTGCATAACTTTTTTTTTTTTTTAAATATTTTTGACACATTTTTTTTCCCTTTTTTTCCCTTTTTACCCTTTTTTAATCCTTTTTTCATGTTTTATCATTATTTTTTTGTGTTTACTTATTTGTAAAAATAA